AAAAAAAATTATTTTAATTCATCTTGTATAGGGTGTAGGAAGTGGAAAAACGCAATTCTGTGATTTGAATTGAATTTATTGGATTCTGAGACTCTACAAACTAGCTCGAGCATTCTGATTGCAGTGTTTTATCGAGATATTGGTGGAGTAGTCGGCCAATAGGGACATTTCGTAAACCTTTCCTTTACTGAATTATTAATGGATCATCATTTTTAAATTCCTAGGGAAATTTTGCAAATTGTTTCTTCTTTATAATTAAAAAATGATGATTCTAAAACGCAGATGATGTTTATTAAATAATTGAAATGTTGAAAAATTTGATGTCAAATTCGATGTCACTCTCCTGAAAATTCCTAGTCAATTACCCACGCAATTACATTTTTTTCTGCGATGTCATTGTGATGGCAGTATTTCCTCAATGTATTGCTGAAACGGTCTCTCCAATTTTCCGTGATCTCCTTCGCAGACATATTTACAATAATAAAAATAAAACCAAACGTAGTTATCGTTCGCAAAGAGAAGAAGCGAATTTCGATAAAAATGAAATACTGGAGTCGTGTCGTTGAAGCTGGTGCTTTTTGTTGTGCAGTATGAAGGTCATTAAACGTAACGATAACACCCTGTAAAATATACTTCGATTTGTTGGTAAAGTGTAGTAACACTGTAGTATTATTGGTTGAGAAATCCCCCATCGGATGGATTGCCCTCCCGAGGTGTTTTCCGCACATCAGTAACGATCCAATTTGTGAGAAGCTAGAAAATACGTCAGACAGATGATATAATTTTTCTCTTTACGAAGGCCAGAATACGTCGTACGAGTGAGTTTTTTTATGTATTTTTTTTTTCAATGAAAATGAATCATTTTTATGACCCGCTGGTTTATGGGTTTGAAAATAGATGTCTTACCGTAGATATCATCATGAGAATCACATTTTAAATTATCCGGAATTGCCCGGAAGGTCCGCGGTATCACGAGAATTACCCGGTAATAGTACATGGTAATCTTGATCCTTTTTACCACGAGTGGAGTAAGTAAAGAAATGCTCGTAGGTATTCCTAATGTAACCAGGGGTTATGTGGCACGTGCGAACAGCTATGAGGATGGGGCATGTTGAGGATGTATAACGGCAGCTATTCCATTGTAGTTACGAGGAAATCGTTGATATTTGTACGCAAACATTGGTTTATCGTAATGACATATTTATTCAAGTGCTCTGCAATTTGTAGACAAAAAATTCCGGTAGACTTTTGGAAAATTTGTATTAAAAAATTGTTTGGCATTGAACATTCACAATTTTAGTCCAATTATTCTGTGAAAACTCAGGGAATATAATTATGTTATAAATAAAATAAAAAGAAATAGTAATTTTTTTCTTTTGAATGCCCATGAAATTAGAGAAAGAACTGTCTTCAAATAAAATGGGCCATTCATTGTTTTCATCCACAATTTTCGAGTGATTTTATTAATGAGCCATACTCCCCCGTCAATTCTAAATGAATAATCCTTTACAGCGCCATGAAATATCTCCCTTGTCTCCCAACAATGGCCAAGCCCTGACGTCAGTAGGGTGTGCTAAAGTATAGATTTTATCGTCAAGCCTGTAAAATTCATATATTGGTTCTGTCATGGATTTGTGTACCCCAACAGAAGCTCAGACGAAATAGTCATTAATATAGCGCTTGAAATTTTTTACCAATATTTTATTACTGATAATGGAGATACGTTGGAAACTCGGTAGTATCGATTTCTGAAATCCGCCTTTATGAAATTTTGAGTCGTAAATCTACGGTTATTTCGTAATCTATTAATATTTCACGTTTCATTCGAGCAAAATGGAATAAATCGTGAAGGAGGTAGTAAAGCGTTGTTCACACTGCTCTCCTCATTTTTACGATGAAATATAAGTTGGAGCTGTTGCTGGCACGCATTCCAGGGCGTTCTTGTAATTTTTTTTCAATGAAAAAAAGCAGAAGGCGAAACACATGAAGTCAAGTGTATTTTTTAAGTCGTTTAGGAGAGTCTGAATTTATAGAAAATGTTTTATTGTGAATATAATCTTCATTTACACCGAATTATCTCCTGAATATTGGGAAAATACTGGGTGTTATCTTTTGCCAATTGCCCCTGGGAATTCTCAGTCGGATAGTAATGTTCCGGGGAATCGTAACGATAGTTTGTTACGAGAATCCATGGTGGTGCAGTATTGGTCTCCATTGTGGTGTCTAGCACGATGTGGCTCTACAATAGAATCAGTTTGACGCATTCCAAGAGGCTGCGGGGGAGAATGGGGGATCGTTAATTTTGCGGCTTGGATGATAATGGTCCCGCAGGAGGATATCATGATGCTCAGTTAAATGCAGTAGGACTAATAAACCATTATGTTGGGTGAACACGGCTCCATTTGCCGGGATGAGTAGTAATGGTTTATGCTGGGTTTCAGAAAGATGTTAATTAGTGAGGGGGTCATGAAAGATTGGGTAGTTGGACGGGTTTAGGGTCAGATCCATAGAAATTATGTTTAATTTTTTTAGTTACTTATTAATTTCTATTTTAAAAAAATGATTATACATGTTTATTTCTCGAGATTTAGAAATTTCCTGTGATGATGGGGTATCAGGAATGAATACATCTTATTTGGAACACGTGAAAGTTGGAAATTTTTGTTGAGAATTTCAAGATTTTTTACTTGATTTTTCAGGAGTAATTTTCTAAGAGTGTAGTGTCTTTAAGACGTCTTAATTTAAGACATTGGACACAAAAATGTGCTTTATCAATTAACTTTACGATGACTGAAATTTTGCCTCTTGTTCCAGAAGTAATGCCAATATGGAGTGTGTACCAGTAATGCCAGCACCAAAGATTGAGCATCAAGGGAATATCGATAAGATTGCCAAACGGTATCTGGATGATAACATGCAACAGGCCTGGATCAATCCCCGGTTGATATCCATGGTAAGTCGAGTAAAATTCTCCACCCTAGGAGTTATAATTTCGTTGAATGTCACTTGCAGAATGAACCAAGTTTCAATTAGTTGCTAAATGAGCAGCTCTTTTTTTCGGGAAATAACATTAACGATTATTTAATGGTAAAAAGTAATCATCAAGAGCAAATGAGACAGTAGTCTTAAGTTTTAATAAGCGTCCTTTTATCCCCTTCATTAGCGAAGTACAAAAGTAGCTAAATAATTAAGTCTGAGCGGGTGAGAATAACACAATGGGCTATTCTGATATGGCATTGTCCAAAGTACCCGAGTGAAATCGTGATTATCGTAAGTTAATTATTGCTCATTGTTTGGGATATACAGCTTTTTGTTTTTATTCAATTCTTCATAACCTACAGCAGTGTCACGGTGCTGATTTTTTTTTCTCTCCTTTTACTTTTATGGCTGGGATACGAGGTAGATACGCTGACAAAGAAATTTTCTGTGATTTATACTACACATTCACCGAGCCGTCATCCGGAGGGGCGGGTGGGGGAGGGTTTACCCACAATATGACCAGCGGTATAATGTCGGGGGAGGGTTGAAGTTTAGATTTTTCTCGGCATCAACTGTGTTTCATCCTGTCAACCCTCTAGACGTTGGAGTTGTGCTGAATCGGCTTTTGGCGCGCGTTTTCTCGGGGAAAATTGTCTTTTTGAGAGAGTGGATTACAGTGGAGCGCTGATGCTCGGGAAGTTTATAGTTTTGAGGAAATGGGGATAATATAATATTAATTAACGATTTGGGGACGAGAGGATATAATTTTTTCCTTGTTTCTCTTTTTTTTTTATTTTCATTTTAGAATATATCGAATTTTCACAACAAAAAGGGAAATTGAAATTTAAATTAATTTTCTAGGAATGTAATATCGTGGAGAATTACATCTCCTCCAGCTGTTTCTCTGGAAAATAAAAATGATAAAGAACAGAAAATGTGTAAGAACCTCCGCGAAAATGTGCAATTCTTCCGCCAATTTACGATAAACCGCTGTGGTTTTTGCGCTTACAAAATATCGCTATTACCCGGTGTGAAAAAAAATAAATAAAAAGTTGTGTTAAGTCGAGCGAGGGTTAGCGTTCGCCGAGCCGAAATACAAGATAAGGATATTAAAGATGAGGAAGAGAAGGAAGTGAAGAATAAAAGGGACAAGGTTGAATTAAAAACGCCTGACGACCTCCCACGGATTTTTTTCACTCTCCTCCCATCAGAATTTATGAATACATTATTTAATTTGAGATTCACGGATCTCCACTATTACAGACAAAAGCAAATACCGGGGGTGTACAGAGGGGATGTTGTAGAGGCACTGGAAGTGTGTGATAATTAAAACGCCGCCGCGACTTTGTCTTAATGTCCACTGGGTAATAAAATACTTGGGTTTAAAAAATTCCATTAAAAACATAACCCCCCCCCCCCCCCCCCCCCCCCCC